AACACTCAAGATCGCAAATCTATCTCCGGATATTGCAATTTTCTGGGCAACTCTATCATCTCTTGGCAAGTCAAGAAACAAGCTACCACATCCCGCTCATCAACCGAAGCAGAGTATAGGGCTCTCGCATCCGAAGCGTCCGAAATTATTTGGTTACGTCAGCTTTTAGCTGATTTCCATATACCACAAAATGAACCTACAACAATATTTTGTGATAATACGTCAGCAATCTCTCTTGCAAACAACCCCATCTTTCACGCTCGTACAAAGTACATAGAGGTGGACTGTCATTTCATTCGAGACTGTATCAAGACTAAGCAAATCTCAGTTCATCACATTTTTACCGAAGACCAGATTGCTGATCTGTTTACAAAATCCCTACCCAACGCCAGATTTAAAACTCTCTCAAACAAACTTACAGCACTCACGGATCCATAAGTTTGAGGGGGGGCTGTTAAGCCATCGGACACGTGGCTTCACTCTAGTGGTTTATATGTTACCGTTTGTACTGTACTTTCTTTAAACTTGTATCTATTTAAACTCTGTAATAGTTACTTTGAGATATTGAAGAAGTTTATTTTTCCTTCATTCTGCTTGCGTCCCTTTCGCTCTGGTTTCTCTCCTACCCTCATTCAATCTCGTCAACACCATCATCATTGATAATTGTCAAATGCCACCAGCTATCACTCACAGTTATTTGTTGGATTTTACACTGAATTAATTTTACTTCAATTTTTTTTTGAAAAAACTCCTATCTTATTTTCAATATTTTATATTATATTCTTCTTTACTCTATGTTATTATTCAACAAATAAAAAAGCCACTTATATAACATCCAAATCTTAACTATATAAAAACAACAACATTGATTTTAGCATTTTAAAAAGTAAAATTTTTCTTTTCAGATATATATATATATATATATATATATATATATAATATCTGATTGAGGTGTAAAATGTTTTATAAATAAAATATCAAATTTTAAGTATTAGTTATATAAAAATACAAAACTTATATGATGTATATATAAATAAAACCTATAATAACATTCATTACTATACTATGAATGCATTTTATATTATTCCAAATATCTCATGATATGCATATTATACAAGGCTGGGTAATTGTTTGAGATAGTTGTAGTTTTTTTTATATAGTTGGTTGTGAAATTGTTGTAGAGAAAATAATTTCGCTATTATGATTACATAAAGCAGTTTTCCATCACATAGAATTTTGAAGAACAATGAGAAAGCAGGGCCAATTAAAAGTACAATTGTTGTCTGAAAATAAAACAACCATAAAAAATTCTCAACTAACCCTAAATGAGTCAATGTATTGCACACATAATGATGCTCATTATATGTCATGACGTTCATTATATGTTGCATGTGTAAATTTAAAAAAGTAGTACCTTTTGTTCTAGTTTTTGTCATTGCTGCTGGCCCTTCTCTTGGTTGGTTTTTTTTTTTTTTTCTGTTGGCTTGGTGGACCTAGTTGTGGCATTTGTTTTGTGGGTGGGGTTTCTGGCCCTGGCTCGGCTGTTCGTTTGGGTGTTTGGGAAGGGTTGGCAGATTAGGTTGTTTTTGGTCTGGATGGGGGTTTTGGAGTCTCGACTGTGCTGTTCTTGATGCAGGTTTTGAGTCTAACTGAGGGCTATGGGTTGGGGCCTTCTTTGATTGCTAGTTGTTTTGGTTGTTTGCTTGATTCCTCTCTTGTGTTGGTTATGTCTTCTTGCTCCCTTTATTCATAGCTGATTTTTCTTTCTTGTAGGTTGTGTTTTCTTGTAGTTGTTTGTGCATATTGTTTGGACTCACCAACTAGGCTGCTGCTCGCTCATGAGTTTTTTGTGTTGGACTGCCTTTTGGTTTTTCTCTGATTGTCTGTCATTTCTTTTTTCGGATGTATTCTTATTTTAGTTGAATAATAAGTTCTTTAGGTTTTATTTCAAATGTTGTATTTTTATATGTGCTCTTTATCCTTTAAGGAGTTGTAAACTTTTTCGTATATTAACGTGTAGGCCCCTCTGTGAGTTTTAATTAAAAAATAATGACGCTCATTATATGGCTAACTCGCTAGGCATAAAATAATAATAATAATAGTAATTATTGCATCCAGGAGTATTCACAGCGGTAGAAAAATATAAAGTTTAACGTCTTAGCGTTGTACGAGAATCCGACACGCAATCAGATAAGAGAGTGTGTAACATTCATAGGAGACACCAATATTTTTAGGTGAAAAAGCCCTGAAAAGGGGGAAAAACCACGGGGCCTTGCTCAGTTTGAATAAATCTACTAGTATTGCAGTTGATTACCAATGAGGCCCTTCATTGGGAGAAGGCCTTAGCTTGATGTACATTTTATAGATTACATTATATGATGCGAATACAAATAATCACTATTGACTTGTTCGTTTGGTCGGGAGGACCATAATATGGTGACAGAGGTCAGAAAGATTGTAGTCTGCGGACGACGTAAGTTAGGAGGATCGTAGTCGGTTGGCAACGGAGGTCTGAAGGACTATAGTCGGTGGGCGATGTAAGTCAGAAGGACTGTAGTCGGCAGGCGACGGAGGTCGGAAAGACTATAGTCGGCGGGCTACATAAGTCAGGAGGACCGTAGTCGACGGGTAAAGGAGGTCGGAAGGACTGTTGTCTAACGACGAAGGTCAGAAGGACGACGTCAGGTAGAAGTCCAACAATGGAAAGAAATCCATCTTCGGATAGAAGTCCATTGAAAGCCCGATAACCGGTAGAAGTCCGACATCGGGTAGAAACTTGGCGATGATGAGTGAAGGTATGGCATCAGGTAGAAGTCCGACGTCTGTTGGAGGTCGAGGAGAAATTTGGCATCACTTGGGCGGAGTTTCGGTGTCATGGGGGAACTCTGTTGTTACTTGGATAGAATTTCAGTATCACATGGAAGTCGGGAAGAATTCTGGTAGCCCGTAAAAGTCGGGCAGAATTTCGGTGTCCCGTGAAAGTTAGGCAGAATTCCGGCGTCATTTGAAGTTCGGGCGGAACTCCGGCGGTGGTCGAGGAGGAGTCTCGTCTCTTCTCCTCTTCTCTTCCCTCATACTCTTCTTGCATTTGGTGTCGTTGGGTTCGTATTTCCGAGACGCTCAGTTTGACTGAAAGTTTGCTGAAATCGGAGTTCAAGTGATCTCGAATTTAATTTTTGAAGCTTCCAACTTGATTTTACCTCGAGATTTGTGCCCGATCAAGATAATTTTTGCAAGATATATCAATAATGACTCTCATTACATCAACATATGTCAACAAATGAAATTTTACTTAAACAACAAAATTTTCATGTGAGAAATTGGTGTTAGACATATTATACATATTAATGCCCTAACAATTCCAAATATAATATAATGAGATTTTGATTCTTTACTAATTAAGAAATTAATTTTAAGTTCAATCATTCGATCTAAACTGGAAGGCTTAGATTTAATCCGGCGATATCTTTTAATTAAATTGGATGACTGAGAATAATTGCTTACAGCAATTTTGTATTATTTTCTCCATTATTAGAAAATATGCATAATTTGCAAATTTTATTCTCCCACCATATATAAATTAATAAATGCGATCAGGTGGGTTACTAATTTTATTATTTTACAGATCAGCACATATTAAAAAGCAAAAAAGCGATGCTAATTATGGTAAAGAAGGTCTTCATTATCTGAATTTAAAATTTGGGTTGGATTTCCATTTTTAGTAAATCCAGATCCGTTCGTATAGGCGTCTGAAACCCGATTACCCGAACGACTTCACGATCCAAATAAACTTATACGAGATCGGATCGGGATGGGGCCGCCCAGGTGGGTCCCACCACCCACCGTCATCTGCTCCCTAATTTATAAAAAAAACTTATAAAAGGAAATAAATAATTGAAGTGACAAATAAAATCCTCTTAATTTCACCGTTGAAAAGATTAACAAAGAAAAATATATTTGTAAAAGTATTATTGTAAAATTTATTATAGCTTGATTTTTTTTTCATGAAAATAGTAATAATTTTAATATTTTATAAATATAATTAATTAAATTTTAAATAACTCTAGATTTATTCTGAATCACAAATAATAAGTTTTTTTAATTCAGATATTATTTTTAAAATATATGATGAAATGAAATTTGTGCAATAATTTCATAAAATCCTAATAATAACAGCATAATTTCACAAAAAAGTAAATGTTATATTTAAAGTTTCAAAAAAAGAAATCCAATCATTCAGTTTAATCTAATATTGTGGATTATTGGGCAATGAAATTTGACAATTCTTCTCGTCATGCATGCACACAAAAATATTATTTTACTAATTAAAGAAAATGCCATAAATTATAGAGAAATATTAAATTTTTTTTAATAATTACTTAAATACTCATATCGAATCATCATTAACTCGACTAATGAAGATCTCCATATGTAGTCCCATATAAAAAGTATACCTCAATATTATTTTTGTAAATTTGTTTGGAATTAAATGGTGAAAAAACTGAAAATTTTATTCATTTAATATTAGGAGAAAAATAATAAGATTTATCAAATGCGCATAAAACATATAATTTTTTACTGAATATTTCATAATCATAAAGTATCACATTCGATATTCATTTTATTAAGTGAATAAATAGAAAATATTTTTCCTATTTTAGTTAGGTCACTTAAAATCCTCAAATAAATCTTAGTCACTATTTATACAAAAATTGTAGCAATACTTCTATTTTGTTAGGTAAATAATAATTATGTATTTTCGGGTTTCAAATTTTCAATATTTTTTAAATTATTTCTCCACATATAAGAAAATAAAATCATAAATAAATAAAAAATATTATTTATTTATTTATTTAATAATACACGTGGATAATTAGTCGGTAAAATTATGATGTTTGGTATTTGATATTATAAAGTAAAGAGGTAAGGATAAAGTAAGCTTACCGATTATTAACCAACAGAAGCAAATAAATTCCGCGAAACCGAAAGGGAAGTCTTGGACTGATCGAGAGGATATTCAACCGAAGCTGCTTCCATCGATTTCTTACCCCCACTGTTACACTATTTCTTAAAGATCCCAGCCGGCAAGCCAAGATCTTACAGCAAGATCGAACTGCTCAAGAATCCCTTCGGGATGGATTCTCCCCCGGCGGAGAACCCCTCGCCATCTCCATCTTCTTCGAAGCCTGACCAGCCTTCGCCGCCGCTGAGATCCAGTCTCCTATTTTATAGTCCACCGCGTCACAACCAGCTTTCCTTCCCGTCGTCATCTCCTTCCCCTCGCGTCATCTACAGCGATCGATTCATACCTAGTCGCCTCGGCTCCAATTTCTCTCTTTTCAATGTGGATTCACCTCCTAATATGACTAGCGGGAAGGAGGAAGGCTCGGGTGCCTATACGGCGATCCTACGGAGCGTCATATTCGGTCCGGATCACGGCATCGTGCCACCGGAGACTCCTGATAGGTCGTGGTCCGGGAGGGCTGGGTACTCGTCTTCCCCTTCCTCCGTTTCATCTAGCCCCAGCAAGAATATCTTTAGATTTAAGGCTGAGGTGCCGAGATACTCTATATCATCTGTGGGGTTCGACGATCTCCTCCCCGGAGTTTCCCCCACCCAGCCCAAGGCGACCAGGAAGGTCTCTAGATCGCCTTCTAAGGTGAATTCTGTTATTAATTATGGAATGAATCTGAAATAATTCCTTTTCTGATGAGCTTTTGGGGTTTAGGTTTTGGATGCACCGGCGTTGCAGGATGATTTCTATCTTAACCTAGTCGATTGGTCTTCGAGCAATATGTTGGCTGTGGGACTGGGCAATTGCGTTTATCTTTGGAATGCTTCCAGTAGCAAGGTTGGATCTTGATCTGTTTTTATTTTTATTTTCCTGGTTTCTTTGTTGTAGCATTTTATTGGCTGCAAGTGTTTGTAACTTCTTGTACAATTCTGATTATCGATAGGTGACAAAACTCTGCGACTTGGGCGTTGATGATGGTGTTTGTTCTGTTGGATGGGCTCGGCAAGGCGCACACTTGGCGGTTGGAACTAGCCAGGGAAAAGTGCAGGTTATTACTTTGCTTTTTTGAATTGTTCTTGCAAATTTTATCTTGAGTGACTCGAGGAAGATTTCTTTGATGAGGATTATAAGTTTGTATAAGTTGGAAAACAAGCTAAGGATTTGTACTACCTCTGTTTTTAAGAAAGCCAACTACTTATCTTTTGTAATAGTACCTGCATCTAATAAAAGAATAACTAACATATTGGTGGATTACAAACTAAATTTTATCAGCTTTGATGTATTAGTCCTCTTCACTTTTTTTTTGGAAATTTGAAATTATCTGATTGAAGAAGGACGATGAATGTCTCTAGATATGGGATGCATCGCGCTGTAAGAAGATAAGGACCATGGAAGGTCATAGACTGAGAGTTGGAGCTCTTGCTTGGAGTTCATCTTGTTTATCATCAGGTAGTCGGGATAAGAGCATTTTTCAACGTGATATACGTGTACAAGATGATTATTTCAGTAAACTTTCAGGTCATAAGTCAGAGGTATAACTGCTTAACCTTGACTTCTCAATTGCATATTATATCCATCAAAACAGTTTCTGCAGCTTTTTCTTCCTTTCATTTCTGTTGATTTTGGCTTCGTTTGGGTCGGCTTTCTTACTGCTTCTTAAATTTTTGTACTAGAAAGCTTCTTTAAGAAGCAGTAAGAAAGCTGTTCCAAACGAAGCCTTAGTCTCAAATTCTCATATAATCTGATTCATTTGCTTCACATGAATAGATTTGTGGGCTAAAGTGGTCATATGATAATCGGCAACTGGCTTCAGGTGGAAATGATAATAAAGTGAGTTCCATTAACCTTCTTTTTGAGGGTTGAATTCCATAAACTTGCTATTCAAAAAATTGATTTTAATTTCTGTCACTAAAAAGCTTGATATATATTTTATCTTGAATGCATCTCTTTTTCAGCTTTTTGTTTGGAATTTGAATTCAACTCAGCCTGTACATAAGTACAGTGAACACAATGCTGCAGTCAAAGCTATTGCCTGGTCTCCACATGTTCATGGTCTTCTTGCATCTGGTGGTGGAACCACTGATAGATGCATCAGATTTTGGAACACCACAACCAACTCTCACCTCAGCTGCATGGACACAGGAAGTCAGGTATTGTGCTCATGATTTTGTTTTATTAGTTACCATACAATGAAATTTGTTCATTTTCTTTTACTATTGTGATGATTTCTTTGTTAATTTCAAAATGCGAAACCATTGAGTTTCTTATCTTAAATGATTATCTTGGTATTCTTGGCTAGGTTTTAGAATTCAGTTGTGTTGATAATGGTGAACCTTGAAATGACTATATTGGGGAACAAATAGTTTGATGCGGGCAAGCAAGCTATAGTGACTGAGAATCTTTTGTCATAATTAACTTAATGATGTGATTGAAAGACATTGTGTATTTAGGATGAATTTGTGTGTATTAAAACTAGTAAAGATTGAGCATGAGATGATTTTATCAGAAGTACGTTGGATGTAGAACATACTGGAGATTAAGATAGAAAATAGATTTGGGACATGCTCAGTGGAGGATGGAAGATGAACAATAAATTTTCTAGAGAGAATTTGTTTCAAGTAATATATAGAAAACTATAAAATAAAAGCTATGATGCACAAATATGAATATGACCACATGGAAATGACACGACACGGACACGGGTCACGTTAATTATTGAAAATATAGGACACGGACATGGATTGGACATAGTATTATAATTTTTAAATTTTAAAAATAATGTATAAAATTAAATAAGTATAAATCTTTTAAAAAAAATTAGAATTAATAAATTATTTAACTAGAATTTGTTCTTGAAATGATTAATATTAGGATGCCGAGAGTTGGGCGTCAATGTAGTGTATCAGAAATCAAGAGAGGAGACGCCAATGCTATCAAGAGTTGGGCATTGATGTTATGCAGGAAGTATCGCGTGTCGATGTCTAGGGACATCTATCATCGATGTTGAGAGGGCGTTGGTCGTCGATGTTAAGATAACGTTGGACAAAAATGAGTTGCCAAATTGTGGGTGTAGAAATTACTAGCACCAACCATCAATGTCAAGAAAATGCCAGACTTTGATGTTTAGATGGTTTTGAAATTTCGATGTTGTAATCACGTCAAATGTTGATGTTGAGATGACATTGGGCATTGTTGTGAAACTAAAGTCGAGACCCATCAAAGAGAAATGAAAATGAGAATATTCGATGAATGTGGTATTAAGTGCGGGCAATTTATTTGGTGTTGTAGAGAAAATAAAGAGTTTATTTTTTATATTTTAAATAAAAATTTTAAATACAAGAAATTATATTAAAAAATTCATAAAATATTTAAGATATGCGTGTCCAATTTGTATTTAATATTTTTTTTTAATCAGACATATTTCCGGCATGTCCGACAATTGTCCGACAATTATCGGAAGTGTGTCGTGTCGGACGTTGCACGTCTCTTTGAGGAGAAATGCCGGTGCATCATAGAATAAACGTATAAGATACCTAGTAGTTTTGCAAAAAAACACTTGGACCAAATAGAGTTAATATCTCATATAGCACTATACATTATGAATGGAGGAAGATTCATAAGTCTCCCCCAAGTAGTTTGAGTAAGGTCAATGATCATGATGAGTTCCCTTTTCTACACATTGGAAACTCTTATTAATTTAGAACTTCAACACATCTCTTCAATTTCGAGCCATGTTTACCTGCCTCATGTTGATTATCATATAATATCACTTTGAAGCTCGAAACCATATGCTGCCTGTGCAAACAAAATAACACTGAAGCCATAAATCTTTACCTTGTTTCCTGTTTTATTTTCAATGTACTTATCAGTGAAATCTTGTGTTTTTTTTTTTCCTGAATCTTAGAAGGGTTGTAGGTTTCTTTATTTCATGAAGTATATTCCAGAACACCATTACTTCATCCTATTGATCTTTGCATTGGTTATACTGCGTTTTTTTGCCCCTTTCAAAATTTTAAGATGTCTTTATATGTCATATATTTTTACTTTTGCATAAATTAACTATTTTTTATATAATTAATTCTACTTAGTTCATCATCAAAGGCGGGGCTTGAAATGAAAATTCGACGAACCACAACATGAGTAGTCTATTGAAACTGGTGAACATTGATCCTATATATTACTTTTTGCTAAGTTAAAAATATCCATGTTGTTTTTGACATGAAGAGCCTCTTGTATTCCCACTCGAGCTCAGTATCTGAACTCACGTATCATGAAACCATTCTTATACGCCCTAAAGAATGCTAGTCTTTGCCATATTTCAATTTGTAAAACCTCAGGCTAAAGTGATACTTTCATTCAAGGTTTCAACTACTAAATAGAAAACGCCTTCCTATTTTTTTATTTTATTTTATCCATTATATGATTGAACAATGGAACTAAATCTGATGATTAAGGTTTTGTTTGGGATGACTTTTTTATTACTTCTTAAAACAACTTTTTAGTTTAAAAATTAAAAATTTTATCCTAGAAATCTGCTTTAAGAAGAAAAGAAAGCCATCCCAAACGAAATTGGAATAATAAATCTTTATCTTACTCATTTTCTTCATCAAATTCATGTCAAACAAAATTCTGAGAAAAGATAAGACTTTTACAACTTCATATTCATCCAACAATTCAAGAGACCTTCCAATATAGTCAAAACACAATTGCATTGAATTTATGTTTGCTTACAATTAACACATAAGGCACATGACTCTTTTCCAACATTTCTGAAATAATTTAGGGAATAAAAATCATATAAAACTATATTTGGCTTCCAATTATAGTATTTTGAGCACTAAAATACTGAAATTAATTTCAAGATGAAGATCATTAGATGAATCCATATCAACAATGGAAAATACTAGCAATTCTTTTAAGGGCTCTAGCTCATCATATATCACCATTAAAACAAACAAGTTGAACTTACAGATGTTAGAGAGGTAATAAAACATAAAATTTTCAGGGTCTGCATTAGCGGCAAAGGTTATATGTGATGTTCTAAATTTTAACTTGGATAAAAGATGGCAATGACAGTTTTAGAAAACAATTTAAGTGCTAAAACATTGGATCAAAAATTATATATTTCTATCTTAAGATTGAACTATATAAGACTACCAAATCTCTACAGGTTTATTATATATATATTTTATATTCTCACGAAATTATATATTTAATGAAGGTGATTCAGTCTGAAATGTAGATTGCATTGGCCTTCATCTAGTCGTCTCATACTCCATGAGAGACTATGCAGAATATAGGAAATTAGAAGAAACGATTACCTTTACCGAAAGAGTAAAAGTTGGAGTTAGCTAGGGCATGCAGTGACGTTGGGCTTCCCTGGGATCCGATTCCTAGGCTTCCTTGGGGTCTGATTCCTGGGCTTCATGCGAGCAGAGAACCAGAGATGAGGGAGTTCGGGATTACAGAGGAGAGGGATCATGGGGAGTGCGAACTGCTCTGTACGAATTCATGGGAGACGGGTTTGGGCTGTGCGTGTGTATATGAGAGTGCGAGAGTGGAGTTCGTGAGTTAAGAGAGGGCGATGCAGTTCGCGAACTGTAGGGAGTGCGAGCGAGAGAGGGGCGATTCTCCTATGCGTGTGTATGCGAGAGTGAGAATTTTGGTTGAGGGATGTTCGCGAACTGCTGAGGAGGAGAGGATTTCGGTTGCTTGGCTTCTCACGCGTGAGGGAGAGAGCGATTGGGAGTTTCGCCTGAGTCTTCACACGCCATCCAGAGAGAGAGATGGAGCCGTTTTGGCGTCGTGGCTGGAGTTTTTGATCGGGCTTCTAGGTTTCGATTTCATACAAGAGAGGGAGGCCAGTGGGAGCGACGGGCTGAGGGAGGGCTTCTCACTAGAGAGGGAGGCGACGGTGAGGGAGTGGGAGACTTCGTGCGACTTCGAGAAGAGCGGGAGCCTAGGGATTTCCGAACTCAGAGAGCTGATGGGGGAGATCGTGGGATTGCAAGGGAGAACCTTTTAACTAGGAGCACGGGTGGAGAGCTTCTTTGCGAACTGCTCTGTGTGCAGTTTTTTGCGAATTAGAGAGTGCCGAGAATGCGAGATAGAGAGGAAGGGGTCGTTTCATTCTGTGCGTGTGTGTATCCGGGAGAAAGGCAGTTCCTGAAATTAAAAGGGGAGATGGGGCCTAAGGCTGGCTGGACGGTTTGTTCCTGGGCTTCGGTTTCACATGAGAGAGGGATCGTGGGGCTGGGTAGTTTCCGAAATAAGAGGGAGATAGAGAGATCATGGGAGGTTTTGATTTTTACGAATTTCAGAAGACAGGGTCGTGGAGTTTTTTTGGTTTGAATCTGCTCTAAACGCGCATTTAATTATATCTTATTTCAAAATAATTTAACGGCTCATATTGGTTTATGTCCTTAAAAAAAATTTAAAAGGCTTGGATTACGACTTGATTTGAGAGTGATCTAAGGGTTGATTAGAGTCTTCTACATTAAATCGAACTCGAATTGAGTCGATTAAACTTGATATTGCGTAATTTATATCAAAGAGTTTTGATTTATGAAAATTTAATCCAATTAGTTTGGATTAATATGGAATTTCATGAATTGAATCTTTACTAACTTAAAATGATTTTGATTTGATTTAGGTCGATTCAATACTACGTCAGTAGGTATCCACCTAAGGGTAATCCTGCGGGGGTGATGTCTACACTAGGTTAGGAAGACCTAGGTATTAGAGTCGATTCTGAGAAATTGACCTCGAATAATGAGGTCAACACATCTTATTCTTTGTTTTCCATCCGTTGTGACTCGAAAGTCAATTTATAAAATCCTATAGATGTCAGATCCTTTGTTGGGCATCCTTAATAAATTTTTTTATCATGATGTGTGATGTTTATTAATGGATTAAAGCAAAAATTAGAAGATAACTTCCAATATGTAATCACCATTTTCCTAAACTATTATATTTGTGAAAGTTGTTAATTTATGCAGCCCTCCTTATGCAGGTTTGTAATCTTGTATGGTCGAAGAATGTTAATGAACTTGTTAGCACTCATGGCTACTCCCAAAATCAAATAATTGTCTGGCGATATCCATCCATGTCAAAGGCAAGTGAAATCTAATTCTTTTGGTGAATTGCATGTGAAAAAGCTATTCCTTTTTTTTCCTCCTCTTATTTTCATACACTTCGACAGGTTGCTACACTTACAGGGCATACGTTTAGAGTTTTATATTTGGCCATCTCTCCTGATGGGCAGGTCAAGAAGCATTTCTCTTCATTTACTGAGACTCCGTTTGGGACGACTTTCTCGCGGCTTCTTGAAGGCAGCTTTCTAGTTAAAAAAATCATTTTTTTGCTAAAAAATTATTTTAAGAAGCATCAAGAAAGCCGTCCTAAACGAAACCTGAGTCTACATACCAGCTTATGCCTTCTTCTAACATTCTTTCTTCTTACAGACAATCGTCACCGGAGCAGGAGATGAGACCCTCAGGTTTTGGAATGTTTTCCCATCTCCCAAGTATCAGGTTGGTGATTTTCCACACCAAATGAAAAATTCTTTTGTTGTGATATCGTTTATCATGTAGTTATGAGTTAGCAAACAAGAATTCTTATTGTGTGGTAATATTTGGTTTAATTTCAGAGCACTGAGAACAGGATTGGAGCTTTCTCTCTTGGAAGAACCGAGATTAGGTGACAATTGGAATCTGTTCCAACTTTGGAAAGAAATTTCCAAGAAATAAAACAAGTGATTTGGATGGGCGAAGCCTTTGTTTATGCTTTGGTGGCTATCCTGACACTTTCTCTGGAGCCCTTAAAGCACAAAGAGTTAAAGGTAGTTTGTTCCAGCTTCTGTCTTATTTATCTCAGATTACAAGTTTGGGGATACCTGCTTAGCTCAATGGATAATTGTTGATAGGAAATGGTTGGTAGGTTGTCACAATCCCGCATCATTAAAGAAAATGGTCATTATTTTCTACAAAATGTCAATTGAATCTCAATAATGCTATATTTTTGTATGGCCTGTATTCTTTTGTTTTTATCTCTGTTCATAATTTATAATTCAAATTTTGGGCTTTGCGGATAATGAGAGCCCTGAGCTGGTTTAATGTGTATAATTAAGAGAAGATTGACTTTTGAGGCATATTACAGATCATCATACTTTGGCACATGTGGTTCATAGATCTGGTTGTTTTTTTTTTGGTCCCTATACAATGCCCTTTTCACAAGCAATTGCCTGACTATATCGTCCTATGAAAAAATTATTTTATGCGGATATTGGACGTCGTACGGAGACCAACTAGAACGCGTCACGTCATTGTTTTGCTTGGGACCGGTGCTCGGTACCGCTGTGTACTAGATGATATGACACGTTGGTTGGTCCTTGGACACAGAATAATTTCTTGTATGGAAGAGGTAGTAGGATGATGGATTGAATAAATGTTATTTTATGTGGTTTGGAAAAAAAATAAAATTTCATGAGTAAAAAAGCATGGAAAAATCATGAGTTTTTGTATTGAAATTTTGTAAATATATATATATATATATATATATTACTATTGTTTTCCCAACGTTTTCTCCCTAGTTTCTCAGATTTTCCATTGTTTGGTGGCTGTTTTCTATTGAAAACAGCGGAATAATTGTGTTTTGGCGAAGATCCGATAGGAATCACTTGGAATATTCAAGTGGTCTCTATCAGTAGATTATTTATAATGTGAAATTAAATTTAATGAAATTTGAGTCTATTATGATATAAATTATATCGAATATCTTAAATTCAATTTTTTAAAAATTAGGATTTGTTAATAAAATTAATATATCTTATTATTTTTGGGTGGAATAAAGCTTTAGGTAGTAACACCAACTTATTAGGTCTGATTCAAATTTGAATTAAGGCTTTATTTGAGACCATTTTTTATTTTTTAAAATAAAGTTTTTATATAAAAATTAAAATTTTTGTGATTAAAATTCTGTTTTAAGAGTCAATAAAAAAAGTCTTTCCAAACAGAGCCTAAGTTTTAAGGCTTGAGAAAATTAAAGTAATTTGATATTGGATCTAATTGTATATGCATTTATGAATAAATAAATGCATATATTTATTTGTGTATATATATATTTATATATGAATGGGGTAAATGCAAATATGCTGACTAACAATTCGACGCAAAAATTGAAAAATTAATAAAATTGAATCAAATTTTGGCACCTATCGAACCTTAATGAATTTAATGAGATATGCTTGGATCAAAATGAGATTAGATTGAGCCAATTCAGAATCAAATTTAGCTTATCTTTTGTTTGGGATCGATTTCTTACTGCTTTTTTAAAATAGCTTCCTAGTATAAATATTTCTAAAATTATTTTTTTTAGAAAATAGTAAGAAAACAGTAAGAAAACAGAAAAAATTCTAATTTATACTAGAAAATTATTTTAGGAAACAATAAGAAAGTTATCACAAACGAAATCTTAATTTTAAGTTCAAATTAAATAATTTTGAGCTAGTCTTAAGTCAAAATAGAATTGACTCCTTAGAGATGATGATGCTTGAGTGAATGAGTGGCTTCACTATTAGAGACAGAATGTGTAACGAGTATATCTGTGAAAAGGTTGGAATAGCTCTAGTGGCTGATAAGATTGGAGAGAATTGTCTTAGATAGTTTGAACATATAAAACCTCGACTTTTTAATGACTCGGTTAGGAGAGTAGGTGCATGGGATTTGACCTATGTTAAGAAAAGTAGATGTGGACCTAAAAAGATGTGGTTAGAAAATATTAGTACTGCCTTTTTTATTAAATTTAAATGAGAAATTAAGTCTTAACTGGAGAAAAAAAATTGTTGTAGCCGACCTCATATAGTGAGATAAATATTTGATGTTATTATTATTATTGTAACTAAGGTACATGGCCATCATATTGTTGTGAAGTTTGCATGATTTGCTATTGAAATTCAGCAAATTCATAATTGGTCAATACTTTGGCTGAACTGTTCCCCTCTTCATCTCCTCCTATGTCGCAACACTATAACATGTCGTGAAGCCCTAAAATGTTAAACAACATATTGATTGAATGCATTTTTGGGAGTTTTTCATGTTTTTTTCATTATTTATCTATATTATTGCTTATATTAGGAATACAAAATAATATGGGAGATAAATATTTACTTTATTCATGTATGTAGAGAGAGAAACTTTGTTCATCTTAGTAACAAAAAGAGAGTTCATAGACACAATTAATGAATTAAATAAAACTGGTAAAGAACATATGATTTTTTACATAAAGAACTCTCACAGCAAGAAAAGAAAAGAAAAAGGATAAATCCTAGCACATAACCTAATTAAAAATAGATTCTAACCATTCTATATGAATGACTTGTATTAGAGAAGTTAATCTGTGATTTCATTAGTTAATCCCATGTAATTACTTAGCTGTTTAGCCGTATCCACTTAGGATAGGACACGTGTACCTAGTTACCTAATCTAGGCACCTATATAATTACATCTCCTGTACCAGTGACAGACATGAAATACAATTTATTTTCACCTCATTCCTCTGTTCATCTTCTTTCTCTCCGGCGATGCACGCGATGAGAAATTCTTGATTCTCAGTTTCTACATGGTATCAGGCCTTTCCTTCCTTTCTCGCTTTCAAGATGCCGACGTCCAGCTCCGCCTCTCCTTCGGTCGCCGAACAACTATCCAGTACCTCAACGGAAATCTCACCGATCTCACCGTCGCTCAAGTTTATCGTCTCCAATCTCAAGACTCTTGTTCCAAACCAGTTATCGTCGGATAACTATCCGATCTGGCGTCATCAGATTATCAAACTCCTTCGTGCCAACGATTTCGACAACTTTCTTGCCCCTCCGGATCCACCTCTCGATCCGTCTGATTCTTCCGCAGCCGCGTCGATCAAAACTTGGCGTATAGTTGATCAGAATCTACAAGCCGCATTCTGTTCGACGATCTCGCCACCGGTTCTTCCCTACATTTTGCACCTGGACACTACGCACGAAATCTGGCAGTTTCTTGAAAATCAATTCCAGGCCACCAGCCGCTCCAAGGTTCTTCAGCTCAAAAATGTGCTCCATCACATCTCCATGAAGAATCTTTCCATGGTTCAATACCTAACCGAAATCAAGAAGCTGGTTGATCAGATCGCGTCGGCCGGTTCAACCATTGATTCGGAAGACATCATTCTGTACACCTTGAATGGTTTGCCGCCGGCATATCAATCATTCAAAACGTATGTCCGCAACTCTCCCAACCAAATTCGTCTGGAAAATCTTTACGCAATGCTGATTAGCGAGGAAATCCATATCACCGCTGATGCCGCTCGAAGCTCCGCAGATGTTGTACAGCAAGCGGCTCTCTATGCGAATCGTGGACGCGGTCGTCGCAACAGGGGACGTCCTCCTCCTCCGCCTCAATCTTCCAACGGTCGAAATGTGACTCAACAGCAATCAGCTCCCACTTGCCAAATATGCGCCAAGAAAGGACATACAGCCGATGTATGTTGGCATCGTATGAATGCAAATTACACTCCTCAATCCTCAACTACCAAGCAAAATAGCGCTCTCGTGGCTAACTCCGATACACCGTCCTACGACTGGTACCTCGACTCAGGCGCCTCCTCTCACATGACCAACGCCGCAGAGAATCTCGCTCAATCTACAGCCTATTCTGGATCTGATGGCGTCTTTATCGGGGATGGAAGGAATATCCCTATTGCTCACTCGGGCACGGGCATTCTTCCCACCCCGACCCGTAAGCTCTTTCTCTCTAATCTACTTCATGTTCCTAATATTTCTCATAACCTCATCTCTATTTCTAATCTTGTTCAAGATAATAACATTTCTGTTACATTTGATCCCATGGGCTTTGTCTTTAAGGATCTGAAGACAAATCAACCAATTCTACGCGGTCCATGTAGCTCCGGTCTCTACCGCCTCGTGCCACCACCAACAACAAGCTCTGCTCCGTCTGCATTTCAGGCCTCCAGCGAACATCGATCCCACTGGCATGACCGCCTTGGCCACCCCAACTCACGGACGTTACATCAAATAGCTCAAAGCAATCCTACTCTTCACATTTTACTTCCTGCTAAATCTTGTATTACATGTATACAATGCAAATGTCATAAACTACCATTTGAATTGTCTAGATCTCGTACGAAATTTCCGTTAGCACTCTTGCACGCTGATGTATGGGGTCCGGCTCCGGTACCCTCGCCTCAAGGCATTCGTTACTTTTTAATTCTTGTAGACGATTACTCCCGTTACACATGGCTTTTTACACTAACACAACAAACGTCAGTCTATAATGTTCTTAAACATTTCATTATCTTCATTGAAAATCAAACCAATCGCACGATCAAAGCTCTTCGGACGGACAACGGTACCGAATTCGTCAACCACCAGATGAACGACCTCCTTCGGTCTAAAGGCATACGGCACCAGCTCTCATGTCCTTACACACCTGAACAGAACGGCGTTGCCAAACGAAAGAATCGACACATTCTCGAAACAACTCGGTCTCTCCTCCATCGCGCGTATCTTCCTCATTACCTCTGGCCGGAAGCTACCTCAACCGCAGTTTACTTGATAAATCGGATGCCGTCCCCGAACACCCAAAACAAATCACCTCTGCAGTTAATGTTTAATATCATTCCCAACTACAAACATCTGCGTACGTTTGGTTGCGAATGCTTTCCCCTGCTTCCTCGGCACGAACGCACCAAACTTCAACCCAAATCCAATTCGTTCATCTTCATTGGATACTCTGATATCCACAAAGGCTATAAATGCCTTAACCAGGAATCCAACTCTATTATCATCTCTCGCAATGTTACATTTCTTGAAGATTCTTTTCCATATCAAACTAACACGTCTTCTTTACGGCAGCAAACCGATGAACCTTCATCCAGCTTGCTGCTCCCTACATCCAAAGCTTCGGAAGTTCGTCCACCGCAACTTGAATCCCCTATTCAATCTTCGGCTCCTCTCAGATCGTTATCTCCGCATCCTCCGATACAGCCTCATACGACTGTATCCGATCGACCACTAAATCAACAGCAACCCACATCCGATCCACCACCTGTCAAGCATCCGATGGTTACAAGAACGCAAACAGGCTCACTCAAACCATCTCGACGACTCAATTTGCTCACCATGTG